TTTATCTCCTTTGTAAAACTTAAAAGAGATGCTTATAAGTTGCAGAAAATCCACCCAAATCAATTTATCAAGTCAGTTGGGCTCCAGATAAGTACTGCACCTATTGTCTATCTCAAAAGGTGGGGGTTCCTCTGCCCCTTTTCCTGGTTTTGGGGTTCCTCTTTCCTGGCTACCCAGTCGCTACAGCCATATATCCAACAACCAACACCAGCAGATTGATGAGTTCCCTTCCACGGTCGCTGTTAATGTTCCCCTTTGTCTGAGAGATTGACAGATATCTCTCCATTTCACTGGGGAACAGAAGTACCCTCCCTTCTCATTGACTCTCACAAAGACACCTTCCCTTGGGCGAACAATCTTTTTTTTTTTTTTTTTTTTTGACCAACATGGTCTCTCAGATTTTCCTTTTCTCTCACACATCGGATGCGCCATCAGAAAATCTTAGTACTAGGTGAGCCGTGTCTTTCAGAAATCTTCCCTGTGGCCCCTGACACTGCTCGTGACGACCTGCTTTGCCAGCTTGTGTCCCCCGAATCTCTGGCTCTCCTGTACTTTGTGGGGATTCCCTAAAGACGGGAAAAACTGACTTTTCTCTCTTCACCCATGGAAACTGTGTCTTCCACCATATCCCCAGGCTCTCCTCTGAGATGCCTTCTAAATAATTTTAGATTTGTATACCTAGCGCCATTTTAAGAGCCTCTAGGCTTACATGTTTCTGCAACCAAATGTGGCCTCAGTTTCCTTAGATGACAGATCCAAAGTAAACTCTTTTAAATTACTGTCAGTGATCGGTAAATAAAGGTCCTCCTGGGGTAAATGGAGGTTCCTATGTTCAAGTCTCTTCTTCTGTCTCTGTTCGCCTTCCCAAAAAGTTTCAAACTTACACCTAAAAGTAATGTACACCTAAAGAAATTTTCTCTGTAACCTACTTAGCTTTGTCTTCTGCCTATATATATGTTCCAGTATCCTGCCAGACCCAGGTGTTTCCTACATCCAAGACAGCACCAAAGGAGCTACCGTAATAGGTGCTCCAGTCTAACCTCAGAGACTGTGTCAAGGTGGAGCTGCACTTTCCCTCCCAGTCACAGATGTTCTCATAGATCCTGGACAGCATCAAAACAGCCTACTCTTCCTGGGCTTGGCCAACATTTCAGCCTTTTGACCTCCCTATCGCCGCCCTAGTGTCCGCAGGAAGTAGCTAAAGATGATTGATTTCTTCGCCCGTTATCCACTTATTCTCAACAAAAAGGCTGGAATGGTGTGCTTCAGGCCCAGGACCAACAGCTCCAGGTTCTCTTAGCATTCCTCAGTCCCTATCTGCTGTTGGGTGTGGCTGGCAACTCCATTCTCTACCATGACCTTTTCAAGGCATGGACTTCCTCTCTTGTTCAACATGTAATCTGTACATTTTGGAGCTCTTACTTTTTTCCTCTTTCTCTTATCCCCTTGCATGATGACAAAGAACTACTTTCAATGAACCTACATTTATATACTTTAAATGACTTACATGAGAAACAGCCCAAGCTACTCATTTTTTTTTTTTTTTATTTAAAGAATAAGAGAGGAATGTTATGTTGTGCAGGCAATTCAACTGGCCTTCTATTAGGGACCTTTAGGGTCCTGGCAATGTCCTATGTCAGCACCTGCATGCTATGACATCATCTTTGACAGGTACATGGTGACCTGTTGTCCACTCTCCTGCTCTCTTGCTCTCCCCGTCTCGTGCCCTCTCCCCTCTCTCTGTCGGGGCATCCCTTCCACTGACTATGTCTCTCTCCCTCTCTCTCTCCAGCTCCATTCAATAAACCTCTTCCATATAATACCTATTGTGTGCGTGGCATCATTTTAAAATAAATACTAACACACACAAACAATAAAAATGGGCTCCACGGGCTGTATTTATATCTTTGTTGCACACACGCACAAAAAGACCATCAATTTTAAGAGGGAGACTGGAGTTGGGGACACTGGAGGGACTGGAATGATGGGACATGGGAGAGGTTGGAGGGAGGAAAGAGAAGAGGTAAATGGTGTAATTACATTTTAATTAAAATATATTAAAATTTTAAACTGAGAGATTTGGATGAATACAGCTGAGTGGTAGAGTATTTCCTAATACTGAAAAAGAAATTAACTGGCAAAATAATATGTACAAATATACATATGAATTACTTCAAGATGACTGATAAGCATACAGCTACGTTTCAATAAATATTATTGACCCTTTGCTATATCTAGGCCCTGACCTAAACAGCTGACACATATTTTCCTTTAAATATCTTAAATTTTTTTCTCTAAAGCATTTGGGCAAATTGACAGCTGTATTCTTTTTAAACTATTTACACACCCAGATCATTAGGTACAAATAATTTTTTTGAGTTTTAACTTAATTTTTTTTTTTAATTTATTCACTTTACGTCTGGATCGTAGGCCTTTCCCTGGTCTCCCCAGGTCCCATCCTCCTTCCTTCTTCCCCCATATTCCCTTCCCCTAGCCAGGCTACAGAGGAGGTCATGATGAGACTTGATAGACTTGGTCAGTAGGTAGGGAAGGAGGGCTCCCCCTTTCAGAGGTACAAGGAAGCTTAAAGCAAGGTGTTGGGAGCCGCTGCTTTGATATTTAAATCTCAGAGGAAAGACTGGTTTTACCAGGCCTTCACTGAAGTCAGGAAAGAATTTCCAAATCCATCTCCTTTTGTTTTTGACAGCAGGTGGAATAGCTTGTCAAATCACACCTCCTGTTCCACCTCCCTGTGAATTTAACCCATTGTGCTGAGCTGTTTTCACTGTGGCTTAAAAGCAATCTGAAATAAAGCCAGGCTGCTGGTCGAGTCTACTCTCCACTAGAGCCTCTCGGAAAGGTCCCATGTGTTGTGTGTTAGTTCATTAATTTTAATCCTCACTCCCAACTCAAGAACCATTCGACTCTGCTGGCAGGCTCCGGCAGCAAGAGATCAATTAGTACTTCACACATGCAAACATAAGGTATCACTTTCAAGAATCATCTTTATCTCTTTTAGCTAAGAAGACAATCACCATCTTATTCAAGATTGGTAGAACAAAAGGAACCATGAAGATTCCTTTTTGCCTATATCCCACCCCACTTCCTCTCATTTCTGGATGCTCTTATTTATTAGTTAAGAATTAGGGGAGGTCTTCCTCTCCTTCCTTCTGATCTTAATCTATCAGGTCTCTCAGGAGTGACTGCATTGTCTTCCTCTGTGGCCTGGTAAGGCTGCACCCCCTGAGGGGGAAGAGGAAGGGGCAGGGGCATGAGTGGAGAAGAGGGAGGGGTGGTGGGATTGGGAGGGGAGGGGGGAGCTACAGGTGGGATACAAAGTGAATAAACTGTAATTAATAAAAATAAAAAAAACTTGAAAATAAAATATCATTTCAGTAAGAAAAAAATTCTTTTTGATAGTTAGAGAGATGACTCAGTGGGAAAAGGTACTAAGTGCTAAGACTAATTACCTGAATCCAATGCCTAGGACCCACGTAGCAGAAGAATGACTCCCAAAAGTGTTCTGTGAAGTGCACATTGCACACCCACAAACGTACCAAATATTGATTTTTCTTTTTACAATTCTTTTTCAGAAAGAGAAAATAGGTTGAATTTTTATCTCTTTCAAGTGTGTCTCACTAGATACTATATATCAGTTCTTTAATGAATTTTCACTTTAAAATGTCTCTACTAAGAACCATATTATTTAGTCTAGTTAGAATTTAGCATTTCAGGTTTTGCCTATAGTAGGAATTTCAGAAAGCATTTTCAAATTTCATTGGCATGTACCATGTGTGTGTACACAGAACCATTTGCCACTGTTCATGCTAGCCCTGGTGAATTTCTGGGCAAACTCCTGTCTCAGCTTCTCCTTTCACTGTAGGTGCAGTTAAAGTACTACATTATAGGCACATGCTTCTTCATCCAGCTTTTGTAGGGTCTCAGCCTCAGAACTGTCCCCAACCTTGCATGGCAAAGACTTTTACCCAGTAAACTCTGCCTAGAACCACAGTTTTACTTTTAATAGTACAGTCGCCTATGAGGTACACTTAGCCCTTTGAGAGGTGCATTTTTAAGAAAGATGTCCTAAGTTCTTTACAGTCATACAGAGCTGTGTAATTTCAGAGCAGCTATCTAATACAATATAAGCAGAGGCCCACAAACTGGTTTCACTCAACACTATATTTAATTTTCTGGAAGAGCTAGATATAAATAGCAAGAAATTGATTGTGGCTTCTGGCAATCTAACTGAATTTTCATCCATTTGAAGCTTTTTTTTTTTTACTAAGTAGCAGAATATACAAAAAGAATCAAGTGTTTTTTTTAATAGAGCAAAATATATTTTTCCTTAAGTGGAAAATTAAAAAAAAAAAAAGATTCTCAGCCTAAATTATTGACATGTTAGTTCTTTGGATTATTAGATTTAGTTCTTTGCTGTGTGGGCTGTCCTTGCACAGCAGAAGATTTCAGAGGATCCTGGCCTTTACTACTTTGCAGAGGTAGGTTGAGAATACTATGAGCATCTAGAGGGTAGATGAAGCCAAAGATGCCACTAAACCTCCAACTGAACACAAAACAGAGCTCCATAAAAGAAATCATCCAGTCCTAAGTGTCATTAACATAGATTCTTTGTCTTACTTTTTTCTGATTGTATAAACATAATGTGCTCCCCGACAAATTCTAACAGACAAAAAGAAAAGTCGCCACACATAGTCAAATGCCACTTGCTTTAGAAAGTAAAAGCAGAGGCAGACAAAATGACAACATAAGAACTGATGCTCTATTAAAAAAATACTATGTTGTTGTCATTAAAATTGACAATTGAGCTAGGAGGCACATATCTCCAATTTTGGTACTCAAGAGGTTGAGGCAGAAAGATTTCCTCAATCATAAATAACACAAGCCCTGGCTCCATAATGAGATCCACGGCAGCGTAGACTACAAAATGAGACCCTCCATCAACTACAAAAACAGTAAAACAAAACAAAACAAAAAGACCCTAGGGATTATAATAGAGTTTAATCTTTATATTAACAAAGGATAACAAGTGAAGTCAATACTTTATGACAGTTTATATTTTTTCTACTTTTTTTCACAATTTATTCATTATATATCTTGATGCATTATATATAACTGCATCTCTCAACATGCAGTTTAAATATTTTAAATCAAGATTTTTAAAGTGCACTTACAAATCAGCCAGTTGCTTTACAATGAGGTCTGATTTCAGCTGAATGTCAGCTAATGCCAAAGTCATCTCTGCATAACTGTGGGCATTTACTTTCAGATTCAAGTCCTTCAGTAGCCTTTCTTTCTGAACTTCTTGCTTATGCAGACAGATTTTGGCCTCTACCTCTGAATCAACTGAGGTATTCTCATTTATTTTGCTTGTTTTATCTGTATACGTAAACCCATCTCTAACATACTCAAAGGCAGAAGTAGAAAGAGAACAAAAGGTAATAAGCTCCTTCTCCAAAGTGGATGACAAATGATCAATTAACAAATCCTCCTTTTCAAATTTCAGATAGCTGAAGACATATTTTCCAGGTAGAACTTTGATGAGATGGTCAAGACATTGGAACAAAACTCCTTGATTCCTGAAATAAAAGACAAACACAATGTGACATAATGGTCACATGCAAAATACTATAGTAATCAACTTATATTTATTCATAGACACTAAGAACAATAATATAAATGCATGCTGTCATTGATAAAATCTTGATTATATCAATACATGTGTCCTTTACTAATTAACATAGTAACAATCAAGTTACTGGCCTGATTTATGTATCTTTTCCTCTGTAACAACAGTAGCATAGTACTTACTGAAAATTCACTATTGTGAAGGGATAAATTCTAAAATAATTACTAGGTTCTTAAAAAAAGATTAAAACCGAGACATTGATTTTTAATCCATTCAAGCAATACCACACCATGACTGTGACGTGTCCTGGCGCAGAATTTTACACAGAGATTTTGTTTGCTTATATTTGTTTTGTTTTGTTTTTGTTGTTGTTGTTGTTTTGAGACAGGGTTTCACTGTGTAGCCCTGGTTGTCCTATAACTCATGCTGTAGACCAGGCTGGCCTCAGATTCATTAAGATCCACCTGCCTCTGCCTGCTGAGTGCTGGGATTAAAGTTATGCACCACCACTACTACCCAGCTTTGAGAGAGTGTTATGAGACCACTCTGATACATGAACTTCTCTGAACTAGTTTGAACTGGATGTACATTACCTGCAATATACTGTTAAATTTCCTTCAAAGATTGTTCTTTTTTCCCAGGAGAAGAGTGCTCCACAGTTTCGCAGCTTTTTATACAAGTATATTTCGCTGCATTCTTTGATTCTTTCACATTTCATGTGTTTCAAGAGCCATACCTTCATTAAATTCGGGGCATGGGTAGGTGATGTGACACGAAAACAATATTTGTGCAATACTGCAAGAAGTGAAAAAAGATCTTCCGTATGTTCTACAAGAAAAACACATTGCAAGTTCTAGCCTTAAATTCTTTCTGATACCCAACCATGTTTTCAAAATCTTCTGATCCAATTAAGCATACAATAAAAAAAATTACCCCTCAAATTACCTATTTCTTGCTTCTTCGGGAACGCCAGTAGGTGTTTCCTACTAAAAAGATCTTGTAGATTAAAATCAAGGTTGCCACATACAACATAATCATGCACGGTATGTTTATCATTATCTCTGTCACTAATGTTTAGCAGCACAGTACAACACAATTTGTTGAATACTAAAAGTGGTGAAAGAGACGTTATGGCAGTAATTATGTGTGTAGATTGTGTCTTAGATGATTGTCCACAAGAAGAGCTTTCCTCTTCCTTGCTACCAGAGGTCAACTTGATCCTTTTTGTCTCTGGTCCTGTTTCCCCTGGCATAAAGTATGCTTCTGGAAAAGAATTCATACTCAAACTAATCACCTGACTTCGACACTTCATAAGCTGAAAACTGGACCTGTTGCTTTGATCCATTATCAGTGATAAAGTCATTTCATTACGAGATCTGTGAAAAAAAAAAAAAAAAAGAAATTTCATTCATTCTACATGTTCTTTTTAAAACATCAAATAAATCATTAAATGTTTACAAAACAAAACAAAAACAGTTACTCTCTCCTTCCCTAGGAAAAATCATGTCAATGCAAAATATTTAAAGTGCTGAAAGTAAATGCCAAATAAATTTGAAAAGTCTGTGACTCAGATATATCAACTACACTCCTGAGCAGTACCCTCACCCAAGAGGAGTTGGCCAACATAAACTAGTCTTCTTGGGTTTAAAAAGGAAGATACCATGAAGGTGGCTAGGTAAGGAGGTGGAGGCAAATCTGGGAGGAGCTCAGGAAGGAGGGCTAATATAATATAATGAAAATACATTGTATGAAATTATCAAAGAATGAACTAGTATTAAAACAAATAGAGAAATTACTAATTTTTACGTTCCAGTAATAATTTAGAAAATACTTTAGAAACAATTTTTAAAACTTTAAAAAATATAGAAAATAATTTGAAAATACTTCTGTCTTGAACTGTTCTGAGTAACTGAAAAATCTAACTTTTTAAATATTTTTATTATCATTTATTAAATTTATTCAATTTATGTACCCCGCTGTGACCCCCTCCCTCATCTCCTCCTAATCTTACCCTCCCTCCTTCTTCTCTTCCTATGCCTCTCCCCTAGTTCACTGGTAGGGGAGGTCCTCCTTCCCTTATATTTGACTCTAGCCTATCAGGTCTCAGCAGGACTGGTTGCATTGTCTTCCTCTGTGTCCTGGCAACGCTGCACCCCTCAGGGGAAAGTGATCAGAGCACCTGCCACTTAATTCATTCTAGAGACAGCCCCTGATACACTTATTAGGGACCCCACTTGGAGACTGAGTCTATGGACTACATCTGAGCCAGGGTTTTAGGTTCTCTCCATGCATTGTCTTTGGTTGGTACTAAAATCTATACTCCTAAAGAAGCTAAACAACAAGAAAGACCCTAGGGAAGATGCGCAATCCTCATTCAGAAGGACAAGCACAATAGACATTGGAAGCAGGAGAAGACGGGGAACAGGACAGGAGCCTACCACAGATGGCCTCTGAAGGACTATACTGATCGAGGTATCGAAGCAGAGGCTGAAAACCTAATTTTTAAATATAGATAATTGCTTATCTTTTAGAAATTCTTCTGACTGATATTTCTTACAATTTACAACTATAACTCAGGATTACTTAGGCACATTCAAGCTCTATTAACATTATCAAGGATTGGTGATATGTTCCAAAGAGAAGAATTTCACTACCTATAGCATTATACTAAAAATGACGCAAAGAACTTAAAAATACGAAAAGAACTTCAGAGAAACATATTTTGAATCTTTGAATACCATATATAGATAGTAAAATGAAGAAAATAGCAACTTTGTTGCTGCATCTGAGAACTACATTTTCAGCAAGCAGGGAGAAATTGAGATATAAGACTGGTAGTGATAAGACTATGAAATTTCTTTTTTTACTCTGAATTGAAAGCATCAGCACGAGTATATGCTGGGTTTTATTACTAAGAATACAAAACCAAAGTCAACCAACAAACCAAAGGTAGCTCTTATCTCTGTACATCAAAAGTATCCAGAAACAACAATCCCCTCAAGTATGAACAAACACCATTTATATGTAGGCTCCCTCTTTTTATTTTTCTCAATCACAATCACATTAATGAAGGGTATAAGTATATAACTACCAAGGAGCTTCTCTTTACAAGATTATTCTGGTTAAGAAATCTCAAATGATATTTGCATGCTTCCTGATGGAAGAAGGCAATGTGTACTAAGTATACTCTTAACATAGCTTCACTCTGATTCAGGCTCTACATCTAATTTCTGATTTACTGGAAATAAAGGTGATAACAAAACATGTTAAGTGATACCACAGGATGAATCCATCAATCTTGCCCATTGACTTTACAGGGAAAATACTTAGTTTCTTTAAAATAAATATAAGAAAAACAACATACATACAAGAAAAGAGTGTGTACAAATTATGGGGATGTATGTATAGTCAAATCCAATTTATAAATATTATGTGGTCTATGTTTTTAAAACTTTTAATTCAAGACAAGAAGTAAATGTGAACATTACCTAGGAGAACTACTGTTAATCTTTAGTGTTTTCATTCTCTCTTTCTACCTTTCTCTCTCTCTCATTCTGTGTGTGTGTTTGTGTGTGTTGGAATAGTTACAGATGACATACCTTTGCTTCAAAATAATCTAGGGGGTTGTGAATAAAGATACACACACACACACACACACACAAACACATATAACAAGATTAGTGATGATTAGATATTCATTGGAATTGAGTAATGAGAAGATATGATCACCATGATATTTGGTATGTTTCAAATTATCTATACATACAAAGCATTTTTAAAGGAATTATATATAGAAGATTAAGAAATAAAAGTTTGAAAATTATGAGACAATAAAAATGACTACACATACCTTGAAAGGGGCAAATAGAACAAATATAAACAAACAATAGTGAAATGCAGAGACTGGAATAAATAGTTGACTATAAATGTGAGCTCAGGATTAGAGCCCCATAATATTAAGAGTACTGAGAGAGATATTATGCTACTTTTAACAGAAGAACAAAGATTTATTCTTTCAAATGATATCCACTATACAAGTCTTACAGATATTCATCATGTGGACTACTGGCTATATCTCATCTAAATTGGTGCTGATTTTACATGACTAGAAAGATATTTCTTTGCATATGGACTTTATTTATAATAAACTACATACATACCAATGTACATAGTTATGTTTTTAAAACATAATTTTTTTCATTAAAAATAAAAAGGGAAACAAAGAAAACCAAAAATAAGTAGTTGACTAGAAAACTAGAGATAAACAGAATAAACAGACTGGTTCAGAAGATACAACCTAGGAGTCATCGACATGAATAGAAGGTATGAGGAGAAGCTGAGAAGCACAGGACACAGAATTGACAAGCCAAACAACTTCCTAAACTACTATAAAAAGTCAATTCTCAGAGCCCAATGGAGAATATAAGGAAATCCATATCTAATTACATCATGATGAAATACAAAAAGAATAATTATATGCATACAATAAGAAGAAAATGAAGACCTAGAAATTTAACAAATAGGAAAAAATTCAAAATCCTAAATCATTAAAACAAAATTATTGGAATATCAGTCTCAGAAAGACCCCTGAGCCCTGAATTTTTGGTTCTGTTGCTCTCCTTGTGGAGCTCCTGACCTCTCTATATCTTTGTATTTCCCCCTTCTTTCATAAGATTCCCTGCACTCTGTTCAAAGTTTGGCTATGAATCTCAGCATCTGCTTTAATAATCTGGTACGTAGAGTCTTTCAGAGGCCCTCTGTGGTAGGCTCCTGTCCTGTTCCTTGTTTTCTCCCTCTTCCAATGTCCATCCCGTTTGCCTTTTTAAGTGAGGACTGATCATTTTACCCTGGGTCCTCCTTCTTAATTAACTTCTTTAAGTGTACAAATTTTAGTGTTTATCCTATATTATATGTCTAATATCCACTTATAAGTAAGTATATACCATGTACGTCTTTTTGCTTCTGGGATAACTCACTCAGGATGATCTTTTTTAGGTCCCACCATCTATCGGCAAATTTCAAAAATTTCTTGTGTTTAATTGCTGAGTAATATTCTATTGTGTAAACGTACCACAATTTCTGTATCCATTCCTCAGTTGAGGGACATCTGGTTTGTTTCCAGATTCTGGCTATTATGAATAAAGCTGCTATCAACAGGGTTGAGCAGATTGTCCTTGTTGTATACTTGAGCATATTTTGGAGAACCCCTGCACAGATGTAGCCCATGGCAGCTCAGTGTCCAAGTGGGTTCCCTAGCAAAGGGAACAGGAGCTGTCTCTGACATGAACTCAGTGGCTGACTCTTAGATCACCTCCCCCTGAAGGGGGAGCAGACTTACCAGGCCACAAAGGAACAAGGCAGCCAGTCCTGATGAGACCTGATAGGATAGGGTCAGATGGAAGGGGAGGAGGACCGCCCCTATCAGTGGACTGGGGGAGGGGCATGGGAGGAGAAGAAGGAGGAAGGGTGGGATTGGGAGAGGTAGAGGGAGGAGGCTACAACTGGGATACAAAATGAATACATTGTAATTAATAAAAATAAAGAAATTAATTTTTAAAAAGAGATTAAAAAAATCAAAATTATTAAACTAAAAAGTAATAAAATGAACAAAATTCTGGCAAAACTGCTCCTAAATGGACACAAGATTTAGAACAAAAACTATTTAAGAAACAGCTAATAAAATATTTATAAGTATCTTAGCATTAAATTACTGGGAAAATATAAGTAAAGTTTTTTTTCTAATCTGAATTATCCATAACTTTTAGAGAAATTGATTAAAGTTAAATAAGAAAGTGCTAGATGACCACTGACTTCCAGATAACTACAACCAAGTCAAAGCCCAAATAATTCCGATTTTATACAAGCTTCCATAGAACAGGAAAAAAAAATAGCCCCAGCTTTGTATGAGGCTGAGATGAGCAGATGGATGACTTGAGCCCAGGAATTCTGGGCAGGCCTAGGCAACACAGCAAGACTCAACACATTTATTTGTTCAATAAATGAACAAATGAACATACTCTTCCAGCTTTGGTACTAAAACTAAGTATTACTGAAGAAAATTTCAAGCTAATTTCAAACATGTTCACAAATGTGAATATTGTTGACCAAACATTAGCAAACCAAATTTATCATCAATGCACCAAAACTATATAATGAATTTGGGTTAATAAAACTCAAGTTTGGAAAACCTGTATACCAGAAAAAAAGATTCACCTAACTCAACACACGCAACAGGAAAGCCCAAACCCTATATAATTGATCACCTCAAATACCTTCGAAGTTAGTGAATAAGCAACACACTTAGTAATATACACACTTGGAATCCTGGAGCTGGGGTGGCTGGGATAAAAGGATCAAGAAATTGAAGCCAGGCTCACCAAAACAGGGTTCTAGATCAACTTAAGAGTCAGAGTGAGATCTTGTCTCAGAAAACAAAAAGAAACTCAGTAAAAAAGATTAAGTGGAAAGCTCTCATCATTAGGTAAACTGTTTGAACTCCATTGTATTACCATAGTCACTCCAACTTGTCCTTTGCCTCTGTGCACATTTGTGGTTCATTATTGCGGTGGAAAAGCTTCTGCTAGGCTACAGACAGCAGAGATATTATTTCCCTATCCATGATTTCTAGGCCAAAGGAGAAAAAGTCTTTATTATCAGATACTATTACTAAGTAAACTTGCTCTAGTCCATGCTAGTTAAAAGTTTCTACATGTTCCTAATTCTTCTCAATGTTTTGATAAAAAGTTCAATGTGCTTAATTATCTCTACCGTGAGAATACCATCTTAACTGTCATGATCTTCAAGTAAACTCAACACATATGTGTAAAATGGATATTTGTAGAGCAATGCTGGCCAAGACGCATATAGGTAGCAAACAGTAGAGACATAGCAGGTGTGAATCGTAATGTGTTATACAAATCAAAGTTCAAAAGTTCAGGATGAAAACAAATGGCTCATTAATACTTTTTAAACTGATTATACATTGAAATGAAACTTGGGATGAAAGGTATCCAATAAAATATTGAAATTAATTTTACTTGTTTTTATTCAATTTTTAAAGTGGCTATTAAAACAATTAAAATTTTATACACCGTGCATTAATTTCTATTAGATGGTACTGCTATGCAGCTTTAACATAGCATTATTACATAAAAATTTACTTACAGCTTCAAAGATGTGACTTTCACTCCAACAACTAATTCATCATCTAGTATACGACACCATGTCTGCTCTACAATATGATCTGGCTCTGGAAAATTCTCTGATAACTTTTCCTCAGGGGTATGCACACTGTTTTCATATTCATCACAGAAAGGAACAAGGCAGTCCTTCAAAAAAGGTGTTAAAATAGGTAACTACAAAAAAAAATGCACCCAATGAATCAAAATGAATGTAAGGCAAAACAGCTTTGTGGCTTTATGGCATGATGCAGCATACCCAGCCCGAGAAACACAGACCAAATCCTTCCCAAGATAGCTATGAATGTAGCTCAGTATATCTGGAGATGATTACATCATATTGCAGTATCAAAAGGCTGGACACCACAGAAGCATTTAAGAATAAATTATAATATGGTATAAAAATAGATAATGAAAATAATGTAGAGTTATAGGTCACATATAACTTATTATAAAATTCATGAAACATTATATATATTCAGGTCAAGAATAAAAAATGGACTGGAAGATGAGTTATCTAATAGAGAGCCAGTGGGGACATTAGCCTGAATTTTATTTTTAAATTTCACTCTATCTATCTATCTATCTATCTATCTATCTATCTATCTATCTATCTATCTATCGTAGTTTATTCACTTTGATTCCCTGCTGCAGCCCCATCCCTCGTTTCCTCCCAGTCCCACACCCCCATGCCATTTCCCTTGTCCTCTGATAGGGGAGGACCTCTTCCCTTTCTATCTGACCCTAGCGTAACAGGTCTCATAAAGGCTGGCTGCATAATCTTCCCTCTGTGGCCCGACAAGGGTGCACCCACCAGGTGGAGATGATCAAAGAGCCGGCCACTGATTTCATGGCAGAGACAGCCCCTGTACCTCTTACTAGGAAACCCACTTGGAAACTGAGCAGTCTATGGGCTTCCTCTGAAAAGAGGGTCTAGGTCATTTCCATGCATGAACCTTGGTTGGAGTATTGTCTCTGCAGGATCACCTGGGCCCAGGTATTTTGGCTCTGCTTTTCTCCTTGTGGAGTTCCTGTCCCCTCTGGTCTTTCTATCTCACTCTTCTTTCATAAAGTTTCTGGCACTCTGCCTAAAGTTTGGCTTAGTCTCAGTATCTCCTTCAATACCCTGGTGGGTAGATTCTTTCAGAGGTCCTCTGTGGAAGGCTCCTGTCCTGTTCCTTGTCTTCTCCTACTTCCCATATCTATCCTGTTTGCCCTTCTGAATGAGGATTAAGCATGTTCCCTAGGGTCCTCCTTGTTGTTTAGCTTCTTTAGGACTATAGATTTTAGTCTGTTTATCCTATATTATATGACTAATATCCACTTTTAAGTGGGTATATACCATATGTGTCATTCTGCTTCTGGGTTCCCTTACTCAGGATGATCTTTCTAGTTCTCACCATTTGCCTGCAAACTTCATGATTTCATTGTTTTTAATTGCTGAGTAGTGTTCCATTGTGTAAATGTACCATGCTTTCTGTATTCCTTACTCCACTGATGGACATCTAGGTTCTTTCCAGATTCTGGCTTTTATGAATAGAGCTGCTACAAACATGACTGAGCAAATGTCCTTACTGAATGGTAGGGCATCTTTTGGGTATATGCTTAGGAGTGGTATAGCTGGATCATGGGGTAGCACTATTCCTAATTTTCTGAAAAAGCATCAGATTGATTTCCAAAGTGGTTGTACAAGGTTACATTCCTACAAACAGTAGAGGAGGGTTCACCTTTCTCCACAACCTCTCAGCATGTGTTGTTGAGTTTTTTATCTTAGCCATTCTGATGGATGTAAAATGAAATCTCAGAGTGGTTTTGATTTGCATTTCTTAAATGACTAAAGACGTTGAGCATTTCTTTAAGTGTTTTTCTACCTTTCAATATTCCTCTGTTGAGAATTTTATGTTGAGCTCTGTACTCCATTTTTTTAATTCCATTACTTGGTTTGTTGGTGTTTAACTTCTTCAGCTCTTTATATATTCTGGATATTAGCACTAAGACTAGATTTTAGTAAGGTTTGATAATATATACGACAAGCATAGTGAAAACAACCCCATCTGTGACTTGCATTGAGCTCAAAATCTAAAATTCTGCATAATAAAATTGATTATTCTTTTATGGTTAGTTTATAGAAGTCTGCTGAAATTTAACATTACTATCTGGGCCATTCTCAAGTCCTTACTATAAATACAGGATTATAACAAAAGAAATCACAGTATTAGGCATAGTAAATGTATTACTTATTGAACCTTTACTTTTATATCAAAATACCATTTGTACATCAATTCATTGAACCCAGGTAAGAACCGCAGTATCCTTTGTCAGTTGTATTGTTGTCTACATTTTAGAGTAAAACAAATGGGCTAAAGAGCGGTTAAGTAACTTGCTTGAAGTTACATAGCTAACAAAGTTGCAGAGCTGGGTTTGAATTGAAACATACCAATAAAAATAATGGCTCCTTAAATCAAGTGTTTTTCAGTATCATCAACATCTGCCATTAACTATCACTTGTCAATCCAATAAGCAATATTTTCTACTTTGTTCTAATTTAAGTAACTCTTTAACAGACTGTATATTGTCAATTGATTAAATGATAAAATAGTCACACGATTAGCTTTACCTCCTCATCACTTGGCATACTATCAACTTTCCCATAAACAGAGTTTAAAAGACCCTTCCAAGAGTTTGCAATAAATGCATCTTTAAATGAGATATGCTGCTGGAGTTTGTTAAGAAAAACAAAAGATGCCTGTAAAATAGAAAGAGAAAAAGTTACCAGAGACACAATTTCAAATGAAACTGGACATATCTTTAATTCAAGAAGTACTTTTTCCAGATAAACTGTGCAGGGAATACTTCCAGAGAAAGGCTCTTTTGTTCATAGATTCTGTTTCTCTTAACAAAAGAAATTCATTGTGTTTGCAGTAAGACACAGGAAGTAACTGGTATAGAGTTTAGTCACCATGCTGAGAACCCTGTTACATTAGTATCCATTTCATTGTTGACTTAAGTAACATGTATCACTATGAATAAAATTGAGGCCTCTCAACACTGTTACATTTACAAAACAAAATAACAAGAACAAATGTTTCTTTTGTAGAAATACTTTGTTCCAAAAACAGTGTTCACATAAGCAAAAACATCAAGGATAGAAAATTTTAATCCAAAGTTTGAAATTCTGTTCATATAATTTTTAAAAACAAAATATTTAAAGATAACATATAATAATGTATTTAAAGGTAACATATAATAATGTTCTTAATCATTTCTATTTGTTTTTGTGCTAGTTAACTCTCCTGACAACAAAATCCACTGAATCTTACTACTTTTTTGCACATTCTTAAGGAGTATTTTAGTCTTGTATGTTTTCTGAACATTTCTTAAATTAAATCATTCTGTGTATATCAGATTTTAAAGTTGTTGATGTTGTCTCTAACAGCTGTCCATCTTTCCTTTCCAGTGTTCTATAGCACTCCATTCTATTACTACAATTACTTCTGTTGGGAGTATTTGTGTTATGTCTAGTTGTGGGGCATTACAAACAATGATATCAATATCTTGCTGCATGCCCTTTAGTTTCTTTAAGGTCTGGGTTCCCCATTTAATTCCGTGCTAACAAATAAATTGATATAAAGAATTCTAGTTTTAGCTCTAAGGCATTTAATCTTTCTGGGTCCTTATATTTCATCATGTATAAAATGTGCAGTAGGGAAGAAATAATCTCTAAAAGACATTCCACTTCCCAGATGATCTTGGCTTCTGCCAAGTTGACAAAAAAAAATAATAATAATAATGAGCACAGGATCTGTAAGGGTCTTTCCAAAAATAATTAACAAAAGGCGACAAGACTCATTCTGGATGTGAGGCAGCATCACCCCATAGGCTACAGGTCTAAAAGTTAAAGGGGAAAAGGAGGAAGCACATTAGCCTAGGCATTCTCTGCTTCAAGGCTAGCATGAGTTGTGCGCCTGTGTTCGACCACACTCTAGCTGTCATGATAATGTGCCTCATCTCAAGCCCTATGCAACTGCAGCCAGCCATCTAACGACTGGAATCTCTGAAACCGTGATCCAAGGGAAATCTTTTCTTCCCTTAGAGCACTGGTTCTCAACCTTCCTAATGCTGCAACCTTTTAATAAAGTTCCTCACGTTGTGTTGACTCTCCACCATAACATTATTTCATTGTTACCTCATAACTGTGATTTGGCTACTGTTAAGAATCATAATGTAAATATCTGCTATTTAGGAGATCTGATATGCCACTAAAGGGGTCATGACCCAGAGGTTGAAAACCATTATCTTTAACATTATGTTGCAAATTTTGTCAGTAACGAAAACTAATACAGTGCAGTAGAGCTAGCATATTTAGCTAAAAACAATAATTCTTTTACAGGGATTTTCATGGTCTGTCTGAGAGACTCTCATCTATGCTGGCTTGGAACTTGGTATGTAGTGACGTTAAATTCTTATTCCTCCTAAGTGCTGGGGTTATAGGCATGTGTCACCATGCCTGGTTTTTGTAGAAAATTTTAATAGGGAGAACATGAGAGTAGACTATTTATTACATGTCTGTTAATGTGCTATACCTTAACTATATTCACTGCCCCTCTAGGAGACAGGCTGTGACATACTGATCACATACAGCAGAACGCTTCCAGAATTGGGCTTCTTTAATTTTCATTCAGATAGCTTGCTAACCCTCCTAAACCCTACTACAAAAAGTTATCATTTCTAGACAATATACTTATATGTAGCATCACAGTAGTTTGATTTATTATTTTTGAGACAGGTGTTGCTGTGTCACCTAGGATATCTTGGAACTGTGTAGAGACAAAGCTGGACTCAAACTAACAATTACCTTGCCTCAGCCTCTCAAGTGCTAAGATCACAGGCCTGAAACATCACACTCTACCTTCGCAATAGTACTAGTTTTTTACAGCAGTGCCCAAAACATAGAGTTCTCTAAAATACCTTTTTTTTTTCAAATCACAGAGTTGCTTAATACAGAAAGCACCATTCTTTCAATGTTGTTTGCTTCAGTTAGACTCACCAATCAAAAACAAAAGGCAAAAAAATAAAAAAATAAAAAAAGCAAAAGGCAACAGCAAAGACACTCACTTCTAACTGGGCTTCCAATGCTGGAAGCACCAAATAATAATTTTCATGTTCCTCTTCAGCAAAACAGTCTTCACTGCAATCCGGTGGTTCAGTCTAACAACAGAAAAGATCAACACAAGTTTTGAAATGAAATGAAAATTCAGAGGATGAATTTTTATTCATTATTATTATTAAATTATTATTAAAGTTTCACTTTCTCTTCTTTAATCAATGCTGTATTACCTACTGGTACAAAATGATATTTCAGAAACAACAGTGAAGTTTGCTTACGGCATTACCAGCATTTGAGTGATCACTAGATATCCATAACACAAATTTATATAAAAGGTAGGGTCAAGTTGTATAATATTTGTTGAAAAGGACAACATATACATATAAAAGATTCAGTCCATATAATTTAAATCACTATTTATCCAAAGGACTGTTCTTTATGAAAAAGAAATAATGTATTTTCAATATCTGGTAACTAGGCAAGTATCACCATGACTCCTACTGCAACCATCTAAAATCTGTATACTGTATGACAAAGTATCTGCTCATTACTTTCTATTAAACCCTACAGCAAAGAATGATTATTTTCTAATTACAAAAAAAAAAAAAAAAAAAAAAAAAAAACATTTGGAAAGATTCTGATTCTACTTAGATCTGAAACTTCAGGGAAAATTATTTCTTTTATGATAACTATTTCAAGATTGCTTTAACTCTTTCTTGTATTTTAAAGCATTTATTGCATGTATTTCATTTGTTTATTTCTGGGATTGGGCGTGTTTCACAGCATGTGTCCTGGCAAGTATGTGGAGGTCAGAGGATAGCCTGTGGGAGACAACTTCCTCTTTCTGCCATGTGGGTTCTAGATATACAACTCAAGTCATTGGGATTGGCAACAATTACCCTTGTCACTGAGTCATCTCACAGTCATTCATTTATTTCCTCTTTTAAGAAGTAGTTTCACTTTCTTTTATTCCTTAATCAATGCCATATTACTTACTGATATAAAAAGCTATTTCACAGTCAACAATAAAGTTCACTTAAAGCATTACTGGAATTTGAATGATCACTAGATATACCATAATAGAAGTTTACATAAAAAGTATGGTCAATTTATAATGTTTATTGAAAGGGACAACATACACATATAAAAAATTCAGTCCACATAATTTAAAAATTTTAGAGTATGAGATCTTAACTACTTAAATAGAGGAACAAACTTTTAAGTACTAAAATGGCACTCTATACTATATATATACATATACCATATTTAATATATTAAATATATAATATATTTAATATATTAAAATATGTAATATATGATATATACTAAATATCTATATATCTCCATATATATTCTAAAAATTGTATATATACATCTCTATACATAAACTAAAAACTATACATGTAAACAGAACTTACTGAATAGCTTATTTTGACAAAATCTGTTATTGTAAATGAAGTCAGCTGATCTGCGCTCAGAAAATCCTCAAAAATGACTAGTACTTGTTCAGTTCCAACTCCAACAAAGTCGTTTATCAGTACTAAGCTAAGTTTTTCCCACTTAGCAACAACCTGAAAGAAAGGCAGTGTTACAGGAAAAAACACAGAAAGAAAAAAAATGTAAACCAACTAGTAAGTCCTTTTGTTTCATGCAGTTTTAATCTGTTAACTTCATTCTTACAAATGACTGATAAAAGTTGTAATAAAAAAGCTAAAGATAAAGATACTATAGGATCCCACACCATAAGGGGTTATGACAACTTTGTAAATAACAAGATATTTATGGCATATTAATGCTTGTCTAGAGACTTTTACAGTTCTAATTTCTGCATTAAAATCTCATGCTCTATGTCCAAATTTAAACACTTCCCATAACTACAACTTAGGATGCCTAACTTTTAGCATGAGTAAAACTCTAGTAAAGATTCTTTTTCTGGCATGGCTAAATGAAGGATAATCATATTTTCCATAAGCCTCAGTGGATATGCTGTTTACAATCAGAACAATTACCCAAGGAATTTGGTAGCACATGATACCAAAAGATGCTAGTACATGTATGTGTAATGGGGTCTCAAAGCAGAATAAGCTCAAATGAACTTTACAGATTATACCCAGGAGTGACAGTGGAGGCATTGTTATTATCAGGGACAAAAAAGCAAATGAACGGATCGTTAACGGCAGGACTCATAGAAACACTCTACTCAAAAAGAACAATCTGTTTTGTTTATAATAGAATAGGAGATACCAAGTTTAAAATAGAATTCTTAGAGGTCCATAGAGCACAAGTACCAGATCACCTCTCTAAGGCACAAGAGCTAAACTTCCCACTCAGAATCCAAGGAGCACAGACAGGTAAGTAAGGCACTTCAATCTACATAATGAAATATCGATTCTGGTCCTATAGGTCTAATTTCTAAAGCTGTGATTTTTTCACTTGTACAGAGAGGCAGAATATGCCTCCCCACAATTATGGGACATAATGAACTACAGAAAGGAGACATTGGCAATCAAAATTTGTTTAATGTGTTCATCTCATGTTTAGGCAGGCATGTTGGTAAGATTTTATGGGTGTAGCTTCTAACATTCCTAGGACATGTAAGTATCAAAGAACTATGCATGGATGTTCATGCATATTTGTAATGAATATATTTCAAACATTGCTGTTTACTACAAGTGAGCCAAAAATGGGAAGTGCACATACAAATTTAAACTTTCAGTTAAGAAGCAAAAGTAATTTTAATATAGTCATTGCCCAGTATAAGTGGAAGATTAGCTCCGAGACATCCTGTAGATCCAAAAATCTGTGGATGCTTATTAGTATACAAATTATATATAACTTACAGTGTAGCATGATGGTGCACTTAACCCCAGCATTCAGGAGGTAGAGGCAGGCGGATCTCTGAGTTTGAGGCCAGCATGGTCTACAAAGTGAGTTCCAGAATAGCCAGGACTACACTATCTCAAACATCCAATAATAATATTTTTATTATTTGCCCACATCCTGCCATATGCTTTAAAACATCTCTAGATTATTTACAATGTCAATGACAATGAAAGTGCAACATTATAGTGGCTGTACTGTATCATACTCAATAATTCCATAAGCTAGTGGCTATATTAGACAGTACAACTACAAAATATACGAATATCTTCCATAGAAAATACAAATATCTGTGCATACCTGACAATGGCCTCAATTTTGAAATGTTCACTAAAAAGATTCTTGTCGCAAATGGTGGGAACTAGAAAAGATCATGCTGAGTGAGGCATCCCAGAAGCAGAAAGACACACATGCTATATACTCATTTATAAGTGGATATTAGACACGTAATATAGGATAATCATACTAAAATCTATACACCTAAAGAAGCTAAGCAAGGAGGACCCTGGGTAATATTCTCAATCCTCATTCAGAAAGACAAACAGGATAGAAATTGGAAGAAGGAGAATATAGAGAACAGGACAGGGGCCTGCCACAGAGGGCCTCTACCGAGCAGGGTATTAAAGCAGATTCTGAGACTCAGTGCCAAACTTTGGGCAGAGTGAAGGGAATCTTATGAAAGACGGAGATAGAAAGACCTGGAGGGGACTGGAACTCCACAAGGAGAGCAACAGAACAAAAAACCTGGGCCCAGGGGTCTTTTCTGAGACTGATACTACAACCAAGGACCATGCATGGATATAACCTAGAACTCCTGCACAGAGGTAGCCCATGACAGTTCAGTCTCCTAGTAGGCTCCCTAGTAAGGGAAATAGGGGCTGTCTCTGACATGAACTCAGTGGCTGGGTCTTTGATCACCTCCCTGAGGTGGAGGGGAACCTTACCAGGCTACAGAGGAAGACAATGCAGCCAGTCCTGATGAGACATGATAGGCTAGGTGGGAAGGGCATGGAAGGAGATGAGAGAGGGAGGGCTGAATTGGGAGGGGACGAGGATGGGGGCTACAGCTGGGATACAAAGGGAATAAATTGTAATAAATACAAAAATATATTTTAAAAAAGATTCTTGTCAAAACTTGAAGAGGCAGTTTCCACTTAAGAGAAAGGCTAAGAGAAAATGTAGTCCTATCACTGAATTAAATATCTCTGGAGCTTTTAGGAAGGGCTTGTCTGGGCGCAAATAAAATATTTGCTGGTGTACATTTTCATTATTTACTTGAATTTTTACTTGTTTGTAATTTTTAAAGGTACCTCAATGACTTCCTGGAATGGAGTGGAATGAAGAGAGCAATGGCTACCACAAAGAAAGAGTGTTACATTGTATATGGCATAAGGCTGCTATTAAAGATCTAATTTTATTATTTAATAATATATTTATTCTATTATCTAAAGCCTCTCACAGAAGTAAAGGCTCAGAATTCATTATTAGAAAATGTTCCATTTCATTTTAAATCTTACCAAATTTACTATTTTGTCTTAACTGTTAGTACAATTGTTCAAATATAATTACTGCATTTCCTCTAATTTAAGAATTTCTACACTATTATATTAATAAAAATTACAAATAGTTATACTAAAAGAGAAGTATATATAATTAGTTATACATTTATGCTTTTTTAATTCAAAGGCTTTATGACTTCAAACACAAGGTCCAAAACCATTATCAGGCAAAAAGACAAGAAAAAATAAAAGAAAGAAATATCTACAAAGAATTATGACTCATGATAAAAACTGACTTGTAAACCAGGAATTCTTAGAAAGTCTAAAAATAGTGGACATGATGGTAGCATAAGGCTATTATCCTAATACTCAGAAGACCAAGAAAGCCAAATGGAAATTTTAAAACCATCCTATATATTAAGACCCAGTCCTGTCTCAAAAAACAAAAGGTAGCAAAACACAAGAAAAGCCCAAGACTACAAACTCAACTTTTTATTGTAAGACCGAGTAACACTGTACCTTAAATTTCTTTTCGGAAACAGCACAAGCTTTGGATCTGAATGACACGATGAAAAATCGGTTTCCTTTACCTGAATCTAGAATTTGAACTGAACAAGGATCTGGAAATGGAAGCTGACAAACTCTTACGGGAATGCCATTTTGAAACAAAATGAGCTGATTCTTTCGTGTCAGGGCAATCAAAGACATTTTTAACTGGTTCTCAACCATTTCAGCAGCACAGACATGCACATGAGTTACTACATTACTGTAAGCAAGAGGGATAAGGTAACTATTGCTTAATATTTCTTGACTTTTAAGAGCATATACACAAAGGATGGAATCGGAAAATTCATAGTCTGATTCTGAAAGCTTGTGGCTACATTTAGCCTCAGATGGTTCTGCTAACCCCAGAAAACCTACACCAAAATTTTCAATCTCACCTATCCACTCGATAGAGGAAAGTTTAACTGAGATGTTAGTGACGTTCCTCATTTGGGACGAGATATAGAAGAATTTGTTGAGATGTTGCCAAAAAACTATAGGGCCATCAAAGATCTTTACACTCTCATCCAATGCATGGTTTAGGTGAAAATTCAAAAGCTTTTCAAACTTGTTGGCATTGTGAAGAAACAGTATATAATAGGTGAAAGCTTTACTATTGCATTTTCTACATTGTATTAAAATGCAAGGAAGGTTAATTCTAGTTCTGAAATCTGACACACAGTTACAACATAGAATTTTTAAATGAGAAGCTTTCTCATTAATGTTTAAAAAACCAGTGGATGTCAGAACAAATGTACTAGTTTCTCTGTCAAATATTATCCTTTTGACATATAATATGGATGGATCTGTAGGCATTTCAAAATCTGCAAAATCTCCTTTGGACAACTGAAAAACAAGGATTTCCCCATTATAGCCCAAGAACTTTGCTTGCTCATTAAATGGCATTGCTTGCTTGCCAGTCATTCTAATACATCAAGTCTTTGTGTTGATCCAGTTCCAAATACAAATAGATTCCAGTTGAGGCCTTTAATCCTACAGGAGAAAAAAAAAAGGAGAGATAGAGAAAGACTAAATGGAACAGGCATAGTACAAAACATATTTTGTTAGAAAAATTATCACACATATAATCAAACATTTCAGTTATAGTAAATATATTAGAACTATTTATACAATTGTGGCAACATTTTATGAAGAGAAAGCCTTGCTATCTAACTGAACTTTGCTGACTTTAGCCTTATAATTCTCCTGCCTCTGCCTCTGGTGTGCTGGGATTACAGGTATGTATCATGTGTCATACTTATTTTAAAAATTCGAAGACTGTGAATAACTAAGTCAAAAAAGATACCTGAATGTGTTATCATTAGAGAAGGCTTTATTTAGATGTTCTATTTAAAGTACCTTCTGCCAAGGCAGTGTGTAAAAGTGCTAGATGCACAAGCCTGCACAACTGGGAGGATCAGAGTTGACTAAACAAAAGATGCCCCTGATGTAGTGATATGCCCTGTAATCACTGCATTCCTTTGGTGAGATGGGAGACAGGAGAACCTTTTGAATGCCTACAGGAATAAGACTGAAATATACAAAGCAGCAGCAGAAAATAGAGATTCTGCCTCAGCAAGTTGCCTGAAAGGCAAGAACAACTCTAGAAAAGTATCCCCTGGCATGCATATGTGTGCCATGGCCTTGAACATAAACACACAAAACCCTAAGCAAAACTTAATTTAAAAGTACCTTACAACGTGACACGGTAGACTATACCTATAATCTCAGCACTCTGGAGATGCAATCAGGAAGATGGTGAGCTCTAGGCCAGCCTGGGCTGGAGAGCCATGAGAACACTAAAAAAATAACTTCAGATATTCTTTCTGATTCAGGGAATTTCCTATGGGTTCTATTTCCCTTTCTACTACAAATCTACTAAATATAAGATGGGTTTATATTAGTCAATGGTTTACTTGTTTTAAAACTCAGACTTCCCTAAATATGTTGATTGCTCAATTAGGTTGCTCCTCTCAGCCAAGGCACTTGGGCTCCTGCTTCCTAAAAACAATGTTAGTACAGGATGCATGATAAAAACAAACAAAAAACCCTCTTAGGATAAAGCTTTAAAATATTTACAGGGAAAAAAAAAACACATAAATACATCTTACTTTAAAACAATATATTTTTGTGACCTGAGGAAAAATATTACTATTCAAAATATGTGGAGAATAAGGATAAATACAACTAATTATAATGAACAGAAGAATTAAAGAACTGCAATCACTAGCACTTATTATTTCTGTCACTTACAAATACATGCACTATATCATATCAGGTTTACAACCAACCTCTCAAAATAAACATTCTTCATTCCCTTATGTAAATGTGGAGCCCTTACTTTAATGAAGGTAAACTGTCCCAACATTGCAGCACTAATTCATGTTTACAAATACTAATTAGAAATACTGCTAGATTTGAAAAGAGACACTTTGCCTCCTGAGCTTACACTCCTAACCATATTGCCATGGCATTTAGTTCCCTAAGAGCAAACTGCCTATAGGAAGTCAGTGTGAGAGAATGAATAAAATCATTGTAATCAAAGGAACATCCTCTAAATTCAAAACATATATAAAGATGTTGTTCTTTCTTGATTTAGTGGCTATACATATGGAGCCATTCTTTTAAGCAATGATAACATGTAGAATAGAATTCAAAATACAGAAGTCAAAGAATGGTACAGCTGCATTTAATATGAATGAGGAACAAAGTTCACAACTAGGGGATGATTAAGAAGTAACATATGAAAGAGAGAGATGACTACAGGATTTAACATGACAATAAACTGAAATGAGTATCTTTGGCAACTGCATTTCGAACTTGACCCCAAAGAAATAGACCCACATTTGAAAGAATACTACTGCTCGAAAATAGATATGGCACTATTATTTGCAATATAAAAACTAAAATTTTGAATGATTACAAGTAAGAAAATAAACAGATGGAAAATCACACTACAGTTCAAAAGAAATGTATTGCTTGTGATGATGGTTGAATTTTAATAAAGAATATGGGTATCAAAGTAGGCAAATGGAGTCTAGTGGAGCTTTTAGTTATTCCAATATTTTTATGAACATTTTCAAACAAGTTTTAAACAATGTGTCCAATTTTCTCATAAAAATGTAAATATTGGAAACTATGTCAGGATAGATCCTAAATGCCTTATTATGGTAAAACAGCTACAGATAAGGGTATATGAGGGAAGACTTGGGTTTTCTTTTATGGTGGAAGGGAAGGGCTCTTGGGGACTGAACCTCAGATCTCCAGCATGCACTGTACCAGTGAGCTATATCCCCAGTCCCTGGGGAACCGTTTTCTACAATTTACAATACAAGTAATCTTCAGTATCTATCAATGTTTAAGAAAGGCAACATTGTTCATCTAAACCACCAAACCTAAAGTTTGCTCCAGTACTTTATAAATCTAAGCTTTTACTTGCCTTGGCAATGTTTGCATTTTACCCTGGATATGTATTGTGACCTGTCTTTGAGTTTGGCAGCATCCCTGGCTTTTACCCATTAGAAATCAGATACACGTCCATTCTGTAGCTGTGACAACCACATGTGTCACTTACATTCCAGAAACAAGAGTCCTACCCCCACCTCCTTAACAAGTACCTCAATATAACATCTTTCCTTTTAACTTTCTATAACCACTTGAAGGCAGAGTTCAAAGACATTTGTCTTGTAAGCGTCTCACATTCCACAAAGAGTGGTGATTATACCTGTAACATGGATCAGAGAGACAGAAACAGGAGCATGTTTAGAGTTGAGGCCAACTTGGGCTACAGACCAGGTTTCAGGCCTGCCAGCACTAAAACGCAAGACACTACAGCAAAAAGTCTTAATAGAAATAATTGCCGGATATGGTGAATACTCACATCTGAGATCGGTCAGGAGAAAAACAAACAAACAAAACAAAACAAAACAAACAAACAAACGAAAACAGTTTTCCAAGGCTACCAAATCGCCAAGTTCCAGAGGCACCAAGAGACTCCAAACCTCCCGCCAGCGCTTTGCACGCTGGGACACCGACCCAATAGTTGAGTGAAAACTCAGCAGGCAAAGCATTGACGGAAGTGGTTGCCAGAGGAGACCTGACGGGGAGGGGCCTCCAAGTAGTGGAAGCGAATGGCCAGCTGAGCTGTCAAGGGGTGTCGAAAGGCGGAGTCTCTCTTTAGAGAAGCAAATGGGAACGGAGCAGAGAACTTATTCCAGCCTCTTTTCCCGGACAAGACTATGGGATTGGATAGCATGGAGGCACTTCCTTCTACGTTCTAGTGTCACGCGACCGTCTACCCCTCCCTCTCTTCTTGAGCTACCTTTGGGCTGGGCTGGCTGGTGATGAGATACTTGGTTGCCGGCTGTGGAAAGGGCGAAGGCTACAAGTACAATCAGTTCCGCGACTGTGACCATGGCCGAGGTGAGCAGCACCGCATTGCTGCTGGGTCACTGGACCCGGAAGCTGTCTTCCAGGCCCAGGGCCCATGCGCTCCTGTACAGGTGTCCTGTGCTGAGAGTGGTCTGGGTAAAGACCATAAGCTTCTAAGGTTTTGTTGTGTCTCCCATCCAGAATAACGCTCAGAATAAAGCCAAGCTAATCTCTGAGACCCGGCGGAGATTCGAAACTGAGTATGTGACAGGTGAGCATGCGTTCTGTGGGTTAAAGTGGGGTGTGCAGTGAGCAGATCCAACTTTTGCTGGGGTGTTTGTGGGTGTTTTTGCCTGGAGATGTTAAAAGACCTTTTTAACCCTAGCTGGAAAGATGCAGTACATATTTCAAGAGTTTTGCCATGCTGTGTGCGCCGCTTCACTTGGGTAGATGGTGTGCTCGCTTCTTCATGTAAATAGTTAATGTACATTGGAAATCAAAATGTCTAGAATCTCCTAGTTTTCCTGGGCCTGGCAGGCTATTTAGTCAATGACATAGGTGACACTGTACAGTTCATGGTTCCCTTGCTGGCCTTTCAACCAGAAAGCGAACCAATAGGCATTTTGTTGTTGCCATATACTTTGTACGTAATTTGGTAATCCAGTTCCTTTTATTTTGCTTAATTCCATTTCTTAAAACCAAAAGTTCTACTCATTAAGTTCTTATCTCATCACACTCTCTACTTGAAAGTTTCTGTAAGTGCAGAATGGATTTAATGGTTGAACATTCAGTGTCTCAATGTCATGGATACTTGAGTTGTCAAGTACTTATCTGATGATTTAGTGCTTGTACAGTATTTTTAAACTTTTAGAATAAGTTATAAGTACAGAGTTTAAAGGCTGTACCGAGTTGCTGTCTGCCTTGATTGATACTAATGTAGACCCTTCCAATAAATAGCTTACTTACATGTTCTGAGTTCCTCTTCCCTTATCTGTGAAATGCATTCAAGGTTAGAGAGTTAAATGAAGAGACATATATCAGATTGTCAAGTGTGGAACTAAAGGCTAGTAGGTTGTCATTTTAGTTAGATTTTGCCTCTGTCATTTGGTTACTGTGGAAAGAATTAAACTCTTGTATTTTGATGGTAGTGTTTAGCAGAAGATTCCTACACTTTTATACTGTTCTGTATTGTACATCACTTCATGACCTAGAACAAATAAGTTCCAAAAGCCTGGTCAGTAAATCTTTTAGTGCCTCTTTGCCAATTTTCTTAATGCACCAAACTTTGTACCAGAGAGTTGCAAAAGCACTCCATTCACTTTTAGCCCAGAGATCTCATTCATGTCTATTAACATAGCTGGTTACAGTAAAGTGATAATTCTAAAAAAGCTTTCTATGGAAATATAATTCACAGCTGTGTGGTTTATAGTACATTGAGATATAACTTGAATTGGTGATTTCATAGCCGATATTTGCTTATGTTCAAGGGAGCAAGCAGAACATAGATAAATTACACAATCTGCAAGGTCTTGAAGGAATGAGGGAAGTGATGTGTAGTAAGATTTAGCAATTTACTCAGAATCCCTGTTGTTAAGCGTCTTGGCTTGGCTTGCTACTCAGGCCTTTTGGATTTCACTTTAGTAATCTTTCAGCAACACTGTGATGTCTAATTAGATCTTGTCACTCCCCAGCTTGAAACCCTTCAGTGTCTTCCCACTGTATGTATTTAGAATAAAGTCCCGATTCTTCTCAGTGATCTACAATTTGAGGCCATATGTCCTACAGCTCTTAGCCACCTGTTATTTTTCTTCTTGCTTAGTGAAGATTTGACCACTCCCTGCGTTAAGGAACCTACAAATAGCAACTCAGTTGCTACAAATAGCAACCAGTATATGCAACACACGTACACACACACACACACAGAAGTTCTTTAAAGAATATTTAATCTAAAAACATGTGACTGGTGTAGTTTCTATTTGACTTCCTTTTTTAAAATGCAGTGACCCACAAAGTTGATATCCTAATCCAAAACATGACCCACAGTTTGAAAAATATAACTACACTGCCTCATTTGTGTTCTTCAAACAGAATGAGTCTGTTTGCATCTTGGGACATTTCCATTTCTGTCTGCCTGGGATGTTTTTCCCAATTAAAATGTAAAGCTTTTTTTTGTTGTTGTTTTATTTTTGTTTTGTCTTTTCAGGGATAAATGTATTGAGAGGCTTCACTGGTTATTTAGTAGCTTCCTGCCCTGCTTACTTTCCCTCCTAGCCTGTAATTGTCCTTTGTTTATTGTTTATTTCCTGCAGTAGATAATAGATGGTTTTAGTTAGTAGCAGCCTATAGAAGTTGAAAGCAGAAGCTTTGTGTGTTTTTCTCACTCCTCAATACCTTGTACAGTGTTCAGTACATATTCGTTGAATGAATATAGCACTACTTAAAGGTATATATTAGAAGATCATAGGAAGAATTGACATTCCAAATTAAAACTGCCCTAACCAGCAACCCTTTCCTACCAAATATTTGGGAAAAAAAAAAAAAAAAAACCTTCACAGTGTATATCATGAAGACAAGTATAATTTTTTCAGAGACAGTCACTATTTATGGCATTAAGTATTCGGATATTTTTAACCCATACACAAATACACACACAAACACACACATTTAAGTATAGGTGAACTGGTGTGTGTTATCTACATAGCAGTTGTAAATATTAAGGGCTTCTATTAACAGAGAAAGTTGAAGCCGTGAAAGGCTTTCTCACCTGGTAGTTGTACTGTACCCTGAAATATGATAAGGCTTTTTAGTTATATGTATTCTCCCCTGTAAGTTGCTTTATAGAAATTAGCTTTGATAACATTGATGTGGTTCATTTGTGCAAGTAATCCTAGAACTTAAGATGTGGAAGCAGGAGGGCATTCAAGTTCTAAGGTGGCATGGTCTATTATAGTAATTTCCAGGTAAGCATGAACTAAACACGACATCTGTCTTTAATATATATATATATATATATAATTTGCAATCTCCATAATATATATATATGTAGATAGATATGATAATAACAAAATTAACTGTTTAGAATATCCACTTTTGTATTTCAGAGTCTATATTTTGATTGACAATATTTTGTTTCATAAAATGTTTAAGGCAGAAAAGCCATAATGATGTTTTTGCAAAATAAAAGCATTTATTAAAAAAATTAAAAGCATTTATTATCCACAAGGATATCTCTTCAGATATTCATTTGAAAACAAGTTCTTGGGAATCCCAAGCTCATTTTTTCATGCCTGCAGAAAATGTTACCAAATATGGATTGATTTTTGGGCAAACCTAAGGCAGAAAATATGGGTCCATAATTACTTTTCTCCCTCATTATTACTGTGAGAAATTCTGTGAATCTCAAATGAGAAACATTTTCTGTTCTTTCTTCTTTCTCTTTGTAACAATAATTTATTCAGTTCTGAAAGCACTCATTATCTGCTTAATTCTGTAAAGCAGTTTGTCAGTATTAGAGAAAGGTGAATGATAGTCATTTTTCTAACTTGTGCAATCTAGTGAAATTATTAGAACAAAGATAATCCACTAAATAAGGTGAACTGAATTACAAGTAATAAGAACAAAAGGAGTCCCTTGGCATGGTGATATACACCTGAAATCCTAAAAAGTGGGAGGTGAAAGCAGGATTTCGAGTTCAAAAAAGTTATCTTTGATTACCTAGTGATATGCAATCCAGTCTAAGGTCCATGAAACCCTTTATCAAAGAAGAGTGCTAAGACAAGGAGAGATACCTCTTGGTGATCCGGTTAGTACTGAGTTAGAAGTAACTTCCTGGAAAAGCTTGGCAGCTCCCATACTGTAGAAAATCTTGCTCTGAAACATGGTGCTATTGGGAAATGGCAGAATTTATAAGAGCAGTTGGCTTAGTAATGGAGTCTTAGTTCTTGGGAATGGTACCTTTAAGGGTGATTATGGAATCTTGGCTATGTTATTAGAAGTTTGGGCCTGTTACACACTAGCTGCCTGACCTCCCTCCTCATTACAGGTCCAAAAGCATCTAGGCCAACTGATCACAGACTGAACCTCTACCACTCTGAAGTAAAATTAAAAAAAAAATAAAATAAAATAAACACTTTTACTCTCTTGATCTCTCAGATATTTGGTGCAGTGACAGAAAGCTGACTAACACAGGTGGTATTTCTTACAAACTTAGGTGGCACTTGGCCAGGTAGAGAAGGTATGTAGGTGGCTCAGACAGTCTGAGTAATGGTGCTGAGATGGAAAGGTATACAGCTTGCTGTGGTTAGCCTTGAAGAGAGGTGTGCACCTGGATGCAACAGTACAACAGTACAGTGTAGAGAAGCTTGGATGTCCAGGTGACAGGTTCGTACTTTAGTATGTGGAGAAGCAGCTGAGCTTGAGGGGTTTTTCTAATTTTACAGGTATATGAACTTATTTAAATGAATTTAGTTGATAGAAAAATCAAAGCCTCCTTACTGTCTAGAAATAGTCTTACTGACAAGGGTTAAATTTGTTCCTAATCTTTGTGTATATATGCTTATGAAAACAAAGTTAAAAGAGCATCCTAATTATGATTTGTATGTTATATTTTTATTGATGTGATCTTACCCATTTG